CCACTAATATTCAAAATAAGATAAACACATAAAAAGATAGGTACATAAAGTTGTGTATCTTAAAACATAATAAAAATTAAAACCTATTTCACAGATAATAAAGAAATTGAGACTCAGAGAGATTGAGACACTTTCCCCAGAAATACACAGCAAGTAAGTGGTAAAATCAAGACTGGAATCCAGGTCATTTACTCTCTAGAGTGCACTCTCCTAACCACCATCAGCTCCTACCAACAACACACAAGAGTCTCCTAAGTACTTGCGATTGAAAGTATAGTTCAGCAGCATCAGATTGTTACAACTAAATCTCTAGGTCACTTTAGGTCTACTGAATCAGAACTCACACTTAAGGTCTGTAGGAGAATCATAAGCAAACTAAATTTAGAGAAATGTAAAGCTACCTGATTTTCCCATATCAACTACTGCCTCTATTTATTTCATCATTCATGTTGCAGATATACTTTTTAAAAAGAAAATTCAATAATTTCATTTCCCCCACTGAAAACTGTTAAACACTTTTCCTAAATGCCTTTGGAACAAAGTCCAAAGTTCTAATACCTTCTCCCCAACTCCCCAGTTCATTAATTTTTAAACCCCAGGCACAGAGATCTTCTTTCTGCTCATCAACCCCCAAAACTTCCCACCTTTCTCGCTTGCTCCCTTTCTTCCTTTAAGTTCTTCCCCAACTTATTTACCATACCTACTACAAAGACCATCTCTAGATCAGTCACATTCGCAGTCGTATTGCTAGCACATAATAATGCAGGAAGAGCCTGGCACAGATCTAGGATCAGCATAAATGTGTTGACCTTCGGAGTAGTGAGGACATCAACTGTCTCCTTTACCCATTGCTCTTTGTTCTTTCTGTGATGCTCCTTTCTGTGTCCTTCTTCCCTGTTCCCTGCATCACCCCTTTCTATAATTCATCTCATTATCAGTAACCTCATGACCATTGAAGTTGTCATCTTTAAAAAGATGCACTGCCAAAACCACATGACCATTGTTCCGGAATTATTCACTAGCTGGATGACAACTGCTTCACTTTAACCCTGAGACACCTAAGATAGACCTCATTCTTTCTAGAAGTGGACAGAAGGCCCCACTGACAGAACAGGCTACTTTTCAACCCAAGAATTAATATATCAGTAGAAACATAGATCAAGGACTTCTCAGCAGACGGTGCAAAGCCAAAAGCTTCACTATCTCTCTGCCCACACAAAAGAATGTCACTGCTGACAAGATGGGTTATCACAAGTTGTGGGTAACGTCATATTTTAAATGTGAAGGCAAAGCTTGCTGCTCAAAGAAAAAGAAATGGCAAATCCCTTTATAAAACAGGTATCTGCTTCAAGTTTAAATGCTGAGTAAATCTGATATATTTTCATATTCAGGTTTCCTCCACAATCCAAAAGTAGAGCATTCCTATGAAACATTTGGTAAACCAAATTGCCTAAACCCTAAACTGAAAAAGCAATTACTTTCCACTTATGATTTTTTTTTTTAGTATTCCAGGCACCCCACCCCAAATCTACCGAGTCATACCAAATAACACATAAAACCTAAAACAACACTAACATACAGTAAAAGCAGTAATGAGCAGTAAAGTAGCTCCCAGGGGAGTAGCTTAGGAGGACCACTCTCACAGCTCAGAGTTCAAGCTCCCTCTACAACAGCTACTGCAAAATAAATGCTAAATGCCATTTTCATTTTTTGTCTTTAAGATTAAAGTGAAATGCCTCTTCATAGTTGTTGCAGTTAGTGCAAACAGGTAGTTATGTAGGTCTTTCATACAAGCAAAGTGGAGAAACATAAAAGAGGAGGATACCTATATCAAGTTGACAACTGCAACAAAAATAAGAACTATCATTCATCTACTGAATACAGGCTACTGAGTGCCTGGTAGAATGTTCAAAGCTATGAATACACTACCTTAGTTAATCTTTATCACCACTTTATGAGGGAGAAATGTTTATTATCCTATTAAAAAAATGGAACCACGGACTTAGTAACCTGCCCAAGAGGCAGGTCTGGGATTTAAATCATAGATTACTACTTTCCTTGCTTTTCTGCTATTTTGTTATTTGGATCACTTTCTCATCTGAGAAATCATACACATGGACATTCCCAAAGAAAACACCCCATGGAGGATCACCTCAAAGGCTGAGGTTTTTTTGCTGCTCTGTAGATCAAAAGGAAAGTAACCTGCTACATCTTATATTTCAAAGCTACATTTCTACATTAAAGGAGAAAACTGAGATTCAAGAAAAACTGAGATTCAAAAAAAGATGCAGGAACAGAGCTCAGGAGTGCTTATAAATGCAATTTCAAAATTATTTTTTCAGTGTTTATAGTGGTCAGGCCCTGAACTGGAAACTGAATGATCAGACAGACCATCAATTAGGAGAGTACTGGTGGGGACCTGGAGTGATGAGGAGAATATCTCCCATAATAACTCTCTTGGGAATGTTTAAACAATAATTTACAAAACCATTACTTTATCATCTAATTATGTAGAAATAATTTTTCCCATATAAGTGATGAATTACCTGATTTATTATCTGTGAACACATAATTGAAAGGGCCAATAAGTCTTCTAAAGCAAAAATTTTATATAATTCAAACAACTCATGACCATTTCTGATTCCCCATACTAGAAGGTCATATTTTAATGTATGTGGAGGTAAACACAGGGTCTGAAAGAGGAAAAGAGAAGACAATATGCGGGACTAAAACAACACTAATTCCTAAAATAGAAATAAAACATATTGAAAGCACATGTACATATGAATAAGGATGGGAACACAGAAACATGTCCTAAAACTCCCCACCAAACATTCACAGGAATAAGGATAGGAGGACACACACACACACACACACACACACACAAAAAAAAATCTCATGAACCTAAAAGGTCACTTCATGAAGCCTCATTTATTAAATAAAAGCATTAGATTAGATGATTCAGCAGTTCCTTCCAGTCCTAAACTACTAGTTACTTTTCATCTATGTGGTCCCTGCATCTGAACAGAGATTAACATACAAAGATGCTCCAAAAATCTTTATTGAGTTAAGAAAACACTACAACCTTAACAACAGACCTTACAAGCATTCATCCTGGTTTGTGGCCTTGGAAAAACAAATCAGAGAAGAAATCATTTCTAAACAGCTTCACTTGTGGCACTCCTGTTTGCTGACTACTGAGCAATGAAAAATACCTTGGACTTGGAAATAAGACCTTGGATCTAGTCTCATCTCTGATACAAACCAACTGCATGATCTTGGGCAAATAGCTTTACCACCTGGGCCAGTTACCTCATCTCTAAAATAAAGGTGTTATAAATCTATCTACAGCTAACATCTCTGGGAATTTTGCTATATGCCAGGAATTGTTCCAAGACGTTTTCGTTAGATTTGAATAATCTCAAAGGCTTTTGCAACTCTAATGTTAAGAAGCAATATAATGTTACAGAAACAATCTGATATAAGAGATTCAAAATTCTGTATTCAAAAAGGTTGTTGGCTCCTCTAGCTCTATAGGGTAGTAATTTTCTAAATAGGTACTGTCAAGAGGACTGGATTACAATTCCAGTACTTCTAATCACTAGCTAAGTTAATTTGACATGTTACTTTACTTTCCTTGCCGTAGTTCTACACATGAAATGCATATGAAAATGGTTCTTTGTCATATAGCTTTCGTCAACCTTGTGTTAAAAGATAACAACTAAATGCGATATATATTTCCCTATTATATATATATATATATATATATATATATATATATATAAAATTTTATTACCAGGTGTGTGACTGTGGACAAATCACCTTCTCAAGTTTTTTCCTCATCCACATGGGAGATAAGATTAAAGCAGATAATATGAACACGCTCTGCAACCTGTCCGGTGTTAGCCATGCACATTTCCTATCTAATATTTTATCAGCATACACAATAACCCCCTATCTAACACTAAGCACAACATACACAATCACCGACGACAACAGCAAAGGCATCTTTACTAAACATCTCTGTCATCTCAACTCTCTTGTGCAAACAGAAGCTGGCAGCGAAGAACGCAAAGCCACATGGAAATTGTAGTTCCGAGCCTAGCGGTGTCTCCTTAGCCGCGGTGGAAAGAGAGACTTCATTTCCCAGCAGACACCTCGCCGCGTGCCTGGCCGGCTAAAGGCGGAGTTTTAGGAAAATAGAGGCCGGACTGCAACTCCCAGAACCCTCTGCTGCTCAGGCCGCAGGCCGTAAGGTGCAGCGAGAAACACAATTTGGGTAAACCCGGTGTAACTGGGGTGGAGGGGCCGCTTGCTCCTCATATTCCCGGACCCAGTACATGTCAGAGCCTTTCTAAAACCAGCATCGGGCGTATTTTCTGCTGGTCTCCAGTACATTTCTTAGAGAATAACAATAACGGTAGTAATAGTACTAATAATAGCAAAGAGTTTGCAAGTGTCAGACTTTCACAAGCAAGCTCTCATTTCAGTCAACTTAAGCTCGGTTTTTCCCAGATAAGCACTGTGACTCCACGATCACAAGGCAGTCACAGAATTTGATCTTACAGAGGAAGCACCAAATCCTGCTGTCGTTCCATTAACGTGCCTCTTTTGTTCCCACACGTGGGAATATACCCTTTTAAAACCTCTCATCTTTCTATGAAGCAATATTAAGCCATAAAACTGGTGTAAAAAATTCCCAGAATACTGATCAATTCTCCCATCATAACGAATTCAATGTACTTTTTGTGTGTTTTTAAAATGCCAAACGTAAAATTCTTCCCAAAATACTGCCTTTCAGGTGTCTTACTTTGCTTCTAGTCAACGCACGTGTTCAACCCCCTTTTGGGGAAACCCAGAGCTGGATGTTTAATACAAACCTGTTCGGGCAGAGATTTCTGCTACTTCCTTATGAAAATGACAAACCATTCTAAAGCAGCCAGGGGCAGTTTACTACCTCTCTCCAGGGCCGGGAGCTAGGGAGTCCCTGAAACACTCACCTGTCCTCGTGCCTCAGTCTACCCACTTATAAAAAGAAGTGGAGGGGGCGGGTTAGGGTTAGGGCAGATGCTCACGTAAGAAATGGCTCGGGAGTGGGAGGGTCCTCCGGCAAATCCCCACCTCCCAAGCAGCAGCGCTGGCCCAGTCCCCGCCCCAATGGGCAGCCAGGGTGCTGACCAGACACTTGTGGAAACAGTGACCCGCGTCCCAGAAATACTGTTCGACTTGGGCTTTGACCCCCCGCCCCTACCTTCCAAGATCTTGGCAGCTGGGAAGTGAAAGGCAGAGGGAGGGAGCGCGGGGCAGGAGCGGCGCCTAGGCTCGCGCCCAGTGGGTGGCTGCCTGAGGGAATCGGGAACGGAGGGCAAAAGTCCCGAGACTGGACCGAGCGACGCGGAAACTACAGTTCCCATAAGGCCCCGCGGGGGGAAGAGGCAGGACTAAAAAAATGGACCAGTGTGGGAACCAATAGGCGCAAAGCATGCGCCTACGCTGGGCCAATCAGGACCTGTTGTGATATTAACCCCTTTTAGAGGCGGGAAACCCTGTCCCTCACAGGAGACAAACTAAGGCAAGGATTGCCCTTAGAAAGGAGTTTTGTCATAAATGTCACGGACTGTGTTTTTTCCCACAGGGAAAAGAAGCACGATTTTTTTTAGGCTATGTTGCATTTTTGTTCCTTTCTTTCTTCTCAAACACGTTTAATTTACCTCTTCACTAATCCTAGCTGACTGGATTTCTTTTCACTTCAGTCATTGGATCTTTCTTGACTCTTAAGCCTTCCTTTGTTTCTCTCAAAACATGAGGTCTGCAGGTCTTGAACTGATCCAGTTTATGACTACACGACCTTCCCTGGCATCCTAACTAAAATTGCACCACAACTCCCCTACATCTTCCTTTCTCCACCCCACCCCCTGCTTTTTTTTCTTCATTGGTGCTATTTTTCTCCTTAGCATTTGTCCTTACCAAGCACATTTATCTTTTTTAGCTTGTCAGCTAAAATGAAAGAACCAAGCAGATGGAGTTTTTTGTTCTGGTCATTGTGTTATAGGACAGGGAGAGGGGCAGCCCAAGCCCCACAAACCTGCCTATTCTAAATGGGTTCTGCCATCTGCCGCATCAACACAAAACATAGGAGACTTTAATGGGAAGGAACTTTAATTGGGAAACAATACAGGTAAGGCAGAGTCTAGTTTCTAAATGAAGCACCCAAAGTTACCCGTCCCCTCGTGGGTAAAAGTCCATCCAAATGGGATTGGCCCAGAGCAAGGCCCCAAAGCCTGCCACAAGTCTAAAGCATCTTCCAGTGGGGACCCACAGAAAAGGGTCAGAAACAACCGGACAAGCCCGGAAGGAAAACAGCAAAATCAACATCAGGATAAAAGCTGCCATTGTCACCTCCCCATGGGTCTCACCCCAGTCCACAACCAAAAGACAAGCGCAGTTTCTTCACGTGTCTCTAGGCTCCATGCGCCTCCTCCAGGTCTCCTGGTTCCATCCTGCTTCCTTCCTCAGTCTCTTCTGCAGCTTCTCCTCTTTCTGCTCAGCTCCACCCTTCCTTGGGTGGGGCAGGGAAACTCCCCCTTTCCTGGGGACCACCCTGTTACAGTTGCAGTATTTCTAGTACCTAGAAATAAATATAATATGTATATAATATACATTGGCTATTACATATGTCAATATTCTATACAGTATATATAGACGGCATGTTTTATATATATATATATATATATAAGATAACTGAATGAAATCTAAAGCAGCTTTTACATTTTCTCTCCTTTGTGCAGATGAACTAAATCCATTTCTGACCATCGCGTGGGACCCTTTTTAAATTTAGAGGAATTCTCCCATGTAGGTGCTGGAGAATTTGTCGGATCAGACCCATTCCCTAACTTCAAGATACTCCTGGTCTGCTGGTATATTGGAGGTAAACTTAATTTTGCTATAAATGCTGTTATAAGTTGCAAAATTGGAGCCTCCCCTGGTGGCACAGCGGTTGAGCGCTGGGCTACAAGGCTGTATGCGGCCTCTGCAGCACCGGTTCGATCCCCCGGCCACCAGCGATGGTCCCACATGGCACAACAGACCTCTCCTGCCCGGCTCGCTGCTCCCCTCAGCAGTGTACTTCGTCAGTCTGCCTGTTCTGTTCCCAGCTCTGGCTCTGGTGAATTCTCTCACCCTCCCGCACTTCTGACTGTACCCAGCACTTGTACAAATAAATAAATAAATCTTTAAAAAAAAATAAATTGCAAAATTGCTAAATAATTTTCACAAGGTCATATAGCTCATAAATAAAGAGAATCCTACTCTTTAGATTCCTAACACTCCAACATGCTATGTATTATGAAGAGCTCTCTTCTTCACTTTGTTTCCTATTCTTCCCTTCCCTCATAATCGTAGGGTCAAGGAAAAAGATATAGTTGCTAATCATTTGGGGGAGAAAACCAAGCTGCAATTACACTTGGACAAACACTAAGCTACACCTTCTCCTTTCTCTGGCACCTTTCCCTTTTTTTCCCACTTTTTCTTTGAGCTGTTTCATTATATGCTGGTGATTATTCCAAGTCTTAGATCTCTCATCCTTTCTGATGTTCGAACCCCATGGAGAATAGGAAGTTGTTCTACAAAATGCCCTGGTGTGAAACATTAATGTCCTTGGAAGCTTGATTGTCAGGGAAAGTCGAAGTAGATTATGGACAGTTTACAGGTCATCACACAGACACCATGACCACATAAAATATTAGAGAATTATAAATAACTACCTGGAATTGAAAACAATTACATATAAAACAGTAAGAACATGATCGATATGTGTATAGACTGATTGTGTGCATAGGGATTAAAACCTCTGTTAAGGCTTCCTAGCCTAATCTTCTGTCAATCTGGGGTTGTTCCCTATAATACAACATTTCTGCCTAGCTTTCATGAGTACATACTCAGCTCAGCAGTCTCAGCTTTCCTTAAGCTGATTGGTGTGAGAGATTTCAACACGTGTCAGCAGCCAGACTGAACATGGAAGAAATCACTGAACCTTATGAAACAGAAAATCTTGAAAATTAGACTGTTCTCCTGAAAAGAATGAATCTACAGCCGTTACATCTTCTATTTAGTAATCAAAAGGCAAATGTCATGGACATACTCAGAATCTACACATTGGTCTCTAATATTATTAAACCATTGTTGGGCAGCCCAATTAGAGCACATAGGTGTCAGTACACATGTGAATGATGTTGTCTACTGAGCTGAAGGTCAACCATGACCTTTAGCAATGCATACATTTACAAAGAGCATTAGGACATGGCACTTGTCTTGGATGCAAGACATACAAGTACCAAGACAATCACTGGGAAGATACCTATACAATCTACAGCTCAACTGATTAATGATCATCTGGAGATGCTATCTTAGTTTGAGTTCTCCCAGAAACATAGCCAGAGACAGGCAGCCAAGTAGTTTGTTTTGGAGGTAATTGCAGGAAATACCAGTAAAAGAATAAGAAAGTAAAATAAGGAATTGAAGACAGGCAAAAAAAGATGCACTGTCAAGCATGTTATTAAAAGGAGTGATTGGAGCTTAAATCTCCTCTAGGAACAGTGTGCAACACTTGCCTTAGACTGAGCTGATCCTACCAAAGGGACAATAAACAGGATTATTTAAACACTATCTCCCAAACACCAATAATTGGCAGTTCCTTTCAGGCATTGCTAAATATCTGGCACTTCTGATCACTGAAATAGTAAGGGGATACCATCAGGACACCAATGCTATGTGCTACCTGTGGCTTTTCCTTAGCACAAGCTCATATCATTGGGACTAGCAGAATAAGGATAATTTGAAAATTTAGTAAATACATAGAAAGAAAATAAGCAGCCTCCTACCTTTTATACCTCATCAGTTGAACAATTAAAATAATGCACTCTAAATCCTCACTGGAACACACAAATGAAATAAAAACTACAACAACAAAAACCTAAAATATGGGGACTGAAGGAAAGACTTCAGGGGAACTTGAGTTTGTTAGAGAGAGGAGGAATGAGATCAAGAAAGAGGAAAAGGAAATTTTGAAAAGTATTGCTAAAGACAGTGTGTGTTATTCATTCAACAATAATGAAGAAACATAAATAAAGGACTTGGAAATTTTGATAAGCTAACAGATTAGTCTTTGAGGTTGAAGAGTCTAACTTGTGCATAATTCACTTCAGCTACTATAGGTGTTTGGATTAGACTTTCAGAAAAGACTCTTGGGGGATATTTAATTGGAAAAAAAAAGATATCTAATATGAAAACATTGTACTAGAATGAAGAAAAGTAATTTATTCCTTTTGTAAAACAAAGTTGGAAAATGTTGAGAAACTCAATTGTGCCCAAATATTCCTAGCTCCTTCAGAAATTTCTCAGGCTATAATCATTCAGCTATTTGGGTGCTATTGGAGAATTCTGGTTGCTAGTAAAAGCCATCACACAATATGCTGGATATTCTTTGCAGTTTTCCCTATCTTTTTTTATTTGCACATCTTATCCCTTTATTGTTCTATGTTAAATGTATTCCTTGGGTGGGTCTGTTCATCATATATTTAGAAATTGGTCTGTTCCCTATAGTTAGTGAATATATGCATGCCGTCTTCTTTTAACTATGCCTCATAAACAATCACAGTTAATCCTTCTTACTGCCATTTTTTGCAATCATCTTCCTGTTACCTATAACATAAGGTGCATAAAACTAAGCTCAGTGTCCAAGCTGTGCTCTCACTAGGGTGGCTAAAGATAAGCTATGTTTTTTTCATCACTCTCTTTCAAGAACTTATGCCTCTAAACACATTGCCCTGCTTTCACTTCAGTTTTAAAGGTATTTCATCACTCTGGAGAATAAACTCCATCACATGCATTAGCCAAAAATTAAAAAGTATATTTCTTAGTAGGACTTACTACAGGATAGGATGCAACTTCAACTCAGTTCATGTTTTGAACTAGGGGCTGGGATTCATCAATAAATAGGATGTAGTCCCTGGTATTATACTATAATGGAGATCATAAAGGTAAACAGGTGAACAAATCAAAGTGATACCATAAAAGTTTATGTCAGAAAGTCAATCTGGTACAGTGAAAGAGGAAGGAGTTTTAGGCCCATGCACTTGGCAAATGCCAGAGTTCAGACAGAGTGTATTCATGAGGCCACAACCTAGAGCGGCAGTGGTAAAAGAGGCAGGGAATGTTCCAAGGAGCAGCTCATAAGAGTTTTAT